TTGCCCCAGTTTCATCTTTGGGGGGAATGTGGATTTTTGTTTTGGTGTGACTGAACCCCAGAGAGAGGCTGCCTACGTATCCTTTCGGAATCAAGTTGAACGTAGTTCAGGGAAACTTTGTTTTTTGATTTTTTTTACAAGCATTTTCGGGTTCCAAAGAGAGTAATCAAAGAAAGGTAACCGGCTCAAAGGGTTAGAAAAGGGTTAAAGTGTTTGGGTAGAGAGAATGAAAGCCTTCGTTAACCAACCAGAGAATCTTGGTATCGCAGAATGGTTAAATGTAATAACTTTTGACTGTGTCTGCATTGACAGCTGTTTCAGGGTCATTTCCTTTAATGTCTCCCAAGTACAACGCCCCTTTCGGCAACAATTTTCTTATAATGTATGGACCTTTCTAGTTTAGAGCGAACTTTCCTTTTGCTTCCTTGTGATGCAGGAGAATATGTTTCAAAACGAGTTTCCCCATCTCAAAGTTGCTAGATCACACTTTCTTATTGTAAGCACGGCCATTCTTTGTTGATACAACTGCCTGTGGCATACTGCGGCCATCCACTTTTCATCAATCAGGGTTAACTGTTCTTGACGGGTCTTGACCCATTCATTTTCCTCAATCTCAGCTTCAACGATGATTCGAATGGATGAAATTTCAACTTCTGTGGGTATTACGGCTTCAGTGCCATAAACCAATAGATATGGTGTTGCTCCAACTGATGTGCGCACAGTTGTGCGATATCCCAACAATGCAAACGATAACTTTTCATGCCATTGTCTAGAACTTTGAATTACTTTCCTGAGGATCTTCTTGATGTTTTTGTTTGCTATTTCAACAGCACCATTAGCTTTGGGCCGATAAGGGGTAGAGTTGCGATGCGTGTGTAAGGTCCCGTGAAATCTCTACTCAAAAACCTGAAATCTCGTAGTGCCACATTAAGGACATGTTGCGTGCTTGTGTTCTTGATTTCAAAGGTAGCTGGGATGATCATTTGACACTCATAGAATTTGCTTATAACAATAGCTTCCATGTTAGTATCCAGATGGCACCATTTGAAGCATTGTATGGTAGGAGATGTAGGTTTCCCATTGGGTGGTTCGAAGTTGGGGAAGCTGAATTGATAGGGATCAGGCTATGGATAAAGTCGAGATTATTAAGGAGAGGTTGAAATCTGGAGTCGTCAAAAGTCTTATTCGGACGTTCGTCGTAGAGATTTGGAGTTCAAAGAAGATGATTGGGTATTTTTGAAGGTTTCCCCCATGAAGGGTACCATGCGGTTTGGGAAGAAAGGAAAATTGAGTCCGAGGTATGTCGAACCGTTTAGAGTCATTCAGAGGGTCGGTCAGGTGGCATACAAGCTTGAGCTACCACCCAAGATGTCAATGGTATACCCAGTCTTCTATGTGTCTATGTTAAAGAAGGTAGTGGGAGATTCGTCCACTATTGTGCCAGTTGAAACTATTGAGGTTAATGAAGAACTATCATATAAAGAAATGCCAGTTGCCATTCTTGACAGGCAGGTTCGGAAGTTGAGAAACAAAGAAATTGCCTCCGTGAAGGTATTATGGCGAAACCAGCAGGTTGAAGAAGCCAGTTGGGAAGCCGAGGAAGAAACTAAAAGAAAGTACCCATATTTTTTTGTATAGCCATGTAATAGTTTCTATGAATTTGGTCCCTATGAGCTTTGTATCACTTGATCAATCTATGTAAAACTGTTCCGTTTTGATTATATATTGCCCATGGGGCCGTGGTTAGTGTGGTTGTGAATTATGTCATGTTAATAGATTGTTTATATGCTATTCGGATATGTTTCTGGGGCTCTCTGGAAAAGTTTTTGGAAATATAGGGAGTTAGTCAAATTTGGGGGTTGTTGGTATATGGTGTGAAGCTGAAAATGCCTAAGTCGCTGATGAGTGAATCCTGTTCCTCATTCGAGGATGAATGATCTTAAGTGGGTGAGGATGTAAGGCCCCGTGAAATTTCTACTTAGAAACCCGAAATCTCGTAGTGCCAAAAAGTGGACTGATCTGTGCATCAAAAAGTTAAGGAAAATGATTTTCAGAAGAGCGCATTTTTGCGGCCCATTATGCGACCGCATAACAGCAATGCGGGCCACATATCTGCCACAGAGTGAGTCAGAGTGCTGGCTAACTTTGAGGTAAACTGTGCAGCCAATTATGTGATCGCATAATCGATATGCGGGCCGCATAGTCGTTGCAAAGCCTCCTTGGGATTTTTGCGAAGGGCCGTTCTGCGGTGCATTATGCGACCCCAAAACAGGTATGCGGACCACATATTGGTCGCATACCCGGGAAGTATGTTCAATATTGAGGGCTACTTTTGCTGTCCCTTTTGCGGGCCGCATGTCAGTTATGCGATCGCATATGCGACCGCAGATTGAATCGGGGCTCCTATTTTCTAACTTTTAAAACCCAACCCCATTTCATTAAAAATACCCTATTAGGATCTCTTGTGCCATTTTCTACTATATTTAGAGTGAGAGAAAGAGTTCTAGAGGGAGAAAATAATCCTCACTAAGTCACTATTACATCCTTGCCCAAATCTTTGAGGATTATCAAGCAAAGTTGCTAAGCCTTCATCATAAGGGGTAAGAACTTGTACCCTAACCTTTGATTTCGAAATTCATACTAGAATAGGTAATTAACAAGTGGGTTCATGGGTATAAGGATGGATTTTCTTGCATGTATGTGTAATAAAGATTATGGGGAGACTATGAGCTAAAAATGTAACAAATGGGGTGTAGGTTGATAGAAACTCTCACCAAAAAGGGTTTTAAAAATCATAATGCACACTTAGTGCTTGATAATGTGCTCAAATGAGCTAGAATCTTGATTATCCCTATAATTCTTGGTTCAATATGTAATTCTCATAAAATAGATCGAGGTTGCTAGGAGTTCCAGAATTATTGTAAGAATTTAAGGAAAGCTCTATTGAGGTATGTATGGCTAAAACCCCCTTTTCTTAGAAATTGGTCTCTCATAGCGTCCATATAAATGTTGTAAGTCTGAAAATCTATAGATGTAGTACTTGTTATTTCAAGTGAAATGGTGTTTCAAGATTACATGTGGAAGGTGTGTTTCAATGTGCACAATATGCTATTCTTGGTAAATTGAGAATGTGTGAAGAATGTGAACTATGTGCTAAATTGCCCAGATTCGAAGTCAAGTTTAATTGAGATTGTTATGCCAAACTATGTGAAATCCTCTTTATGCTTACAACTTGAATTGCTCTTGTATGTGCTTATTATCTCAAATTACAAGGTTAATATTGAAAGTGGAAATGATGTGAAACGTGGGGGGAAAGAGTTTGAATAATGAAATGTGGCCTAGTGCCGAGTATAATGTGATAATTGTGGCCCCAAGTGCCTATGAACTGATATATGTGAAATAAAGATTGAAATGAGATGATTGATGGAAAAGGAAACATGTCTTGGTAAGACGGCCTAGCCGATCGGGCCGTGATCGGACGCCATGCTACACACATGGTGGTATTGTGCTGATATTGAAACCAAAAAGTGAGAATGAAAGTGTGATTGAGTTACATGTCTCAAATGAGGCAACCTTGCCGATCAGGTCATGATCGGACTCCGCGCAAGAAAGTAGTGGTATTGTGAGATGATGCAACAGTATGAAATGTGCCAACCTAAAGCTATGGAAATTATGTGAAAGCTATGTGATTCCTTTTACTTGATGATGTGGTGATTGTTTAATGCTCGTGTTAGTCCTTATGATTTATCTGTTTTTGTATGGTTGTTCTTTCTAAATAGATGATGTTTAGTTATACATACTAGTACTATTCCACAGTACTAACGTCCCTTTTTGCCGGGGGCGCTACATCTTTTGAATGGATGTAGGTGGTTCCATAGCAGACAGTGTCGATCGCAGGTAGCTGAGCATCCTCCTCTCAGAAGTCTTGGTGATCCCCTTTTCCTTCAGGTGTTATGTTGTACACCTTTTGTTTTAAATTTCCACTTTTGAGGTATAGCCGGGGCCTTGTTGCCGGCATTATCATAACTGTCTTTTGTATCCTTAGAGGCTCCGTAGACATTTTGTGTGGGTTATGTACGGGTATTGGATGGGCCACTAGATTATGTTGTAATTCTAAACTCTTGTTTCCTCTAAACGGTAAATGTATGAAATTGGGAAATTTAACTATGGTTTAAGGATTGTAATATAAAATGAACTATCAATGTTTCATGTGCGATCTTTTCTACTGATTAATTTAAATAAAAGCTTGGTTTCTTGATCATAGTGAGTTAGGTAGAAGGTGTCCCAAGGCTTGGTCAGTTGGGTTCACTCGATTGAGCCCCAGTCGCGCCTTCCGAGGTTAGGGTGTGACAACGTGATCTTAAATTGTTCTCATACTTCCATCATCAAATGACTGTTCAAATTTGCAGCATTATCCGTAATGATAGTTTTAGGGATACCAAAACATTAGATAATGTTGGAATGCACAAAGTCCACCACTGCTTTCTTAGTGACGGCTTTGAGAGTGACTGCTTCGACCCACTTTGTGAAGTAGTCAATGGCAACTAATATGAATCTGTGCCCATTTGAAGCTTTTGGCTCCATTGTCCCAATGACATCCATACCCCAAGCAACGAACGGCCATGGTGCTGACATAGGATGTAATTCTGAAGGCGGTGCATGAATCATGTCACCGTGTACCTGACACTGATGACACTTTCGGACAAAACTGAAGCAATCATTTTCCATAGTCATCCAGTAATAACCTACTCGAAGGATTTTTTTTGCAAGCATGTATCCATTCATATGGGGTCCACATACTCCCGCGTGCACTTCATTCATGATTCTTACGGCCTCTTGGCATCCACACATCTTAAAGGTTCAGATCTGGAGTCCTTTTATACAAGACCTCTCCGCTAAAATAGAAGCCACTAGCAAGCATTCTAATGGTCCTCTTTTGGTCTCCACTAGCTTGCTCGGGATATTCTTTTGTTTTCAAGAATCTTTTGATATCATGATACCATGTTTGAGCATCAGGATCTATTTCAACTACGCTGCAATAACCATGTCTTTGTGGAATTTGGATTTCCAATGGGTCAATGTGGACATTGCCTGTATATGGTAGCATCGAGGCCAAAGTAGCTAGTGCATCGACCAACTCATTGTGAAACCGAGGAATGTACCTGAACTCGACAGATTTGAACCGCTTGCTAAGATATTCAACATATTGCCTGTATAGAATAAGCTTAACATTCTGAGTTTCCCATTCACCTTGAGCTTGTAGGATAATCAAGTTCGAGTCTCCCATGATTGACAATTCTTCCACATCCTGATCAATTGCCATGTTCATGCCCATAATGCAGGCTTCATACTCAGTAGTGTTGTTCGTGCAGAAAAAACAAAGTCGGGCTGAGGCCGGATAGTGCTGACCAGTGGGTAAGATCAAAATTGCCCCAATCCCGACACCTTTTGCATTCACAGCTCCATCGAAGAACATTTTCCAAGCATTGGTGTCTTCTGAAATTACCTCAACTAAATTTACTTCCTCGTTTGGAAAGTAAGTACTCAAAGGCTGATATTCATCATCAACAGGATTTTCAGCTAGGTGATACGCTAAAGCTTGAGCTTTCATTGCCGTGCGGGTGACATAGACTATGTCAAACTCGGTGAGCGGGATTTGCCATTTTGCTAACCTCCTAGTGGGCATTGGCTTTTGGAATATGTATTTCAAAGGATCCAATCTGGTGATGAAGTAGGTAGTGTATGCCAACAAGTAATGCCTAAGCTTCTGAGCGACCCAAGTTAAGGCGCAACAAGTCATTTCCAATAAAGTGTATTTGGCTTCATAACTAGTGAACTTCTTGCTTAAATAGTATATGGCCTGTCTTTTTTTCCGGTCACATCACGCTGATCGAGAACACATCCAAAGGAATTCTCCAAGACTATCAAATACAAAAACAAAGGCCTTCTAGGTTCGGGTGGGACCAAGACTGGTGGGTTCAATAGATATTCTTTGATTTTATCGAAAGCTTCCTGACACTCATCTGTCCATCTAATCGTTGCATCTTTCTTCAACAGCTTAAATATGGGTTCACATGTGGAAGTCAACTGAGTAATGAACCTGCTGATGTAATTTAACCTTCCCAACAGACTCATAACCTCTTTCTTAGTTCTTGGAGGAGGCAAATCCCGAATAGACTTTATCTTTGTTGGATCTAGCTTGATGCCCCTCCGACTGACTATAAACCCCAAAAGTTTTCCAGATGGAACTCCAAATCCATATTTAGCTGGATTTAACTTCAAATCATACTTACGCAGACGCTCAAAGAACATTCTCAGATCCCGAACATGGTCGTTCTGCGTTCTTGATTTAATGATCACATCATCCACATACACCTCGATTTCTTGGTGCATCATGTCATTAAAGATGGCAGCCATAGCTCTTATGTAAGTTGCCCCGGCATTCTTCAAACCGAACGGCATGACCCTATAACAATAAGTACCCCAAGGTATGGTGAAGGCCATCTTTTCTGCATCCTCTTCATCCATCAGGATTTGATGATACACAACATAACAATCTACGAAAGACTGCATCTCATGTTTGGCACAGTTGTCAACAAGGATGTGGATGTTTGGTAATGGAAAGTTGTCCTTGGGGCTCGCTTTGTTCAATTCCCCATAGTCAACAAACACTCGGGTTTTCCCATCTTTCTTTGGCACTGGGACCATATTAGCCAAACATGTGGTGTATCGGACCACTTTGATCATACCCGTTTTCAGCTATTTGGTGACTTCCTCTTTAATCTTGTCACTGATATCCGTTTTAAACTTTCTCTGCTTTTGTTGGACAGGGGGATAATCGGGGTAAGTTGGAAATTTGTGCACCACTAAATCAACACTCAGTCCTAGCATATTATCATAGGACCAAGCAAACACGTCTTTGAATTCGAACAAAAGTTGGATCAATGCATCCCTATTTCTTTCATCAGTGTGAATACTTATCATGGTTTCCTGGATCTCTTCCGAACTACCCAAATTAACTGGCTCAGTTTCATTTAAGTTTGGCTTAGGCTTATTCTCAAATTGTTCCAATTCTCGATTTATTTCCCTAAAGCCTCATCTTCATCATATTCTGGTTCTTAGTTCATTATTTCACAGTTAGACATCATGTTAGGATCTGGGCATAAAGTCCGCAAGCATGTCATGTTATTTAAGTTCGCATTATTAGAACTGAAAGAAGAAATAAGAAAAATAACAAAATAAGAAAGAATAAAGAAATAGATTCATTGACGATGAAATATTGATTTCATTTCATTGAATTTGAAGATAGAAAGGTTTACATTGGAATTTTAAAGACAATAAACTAAAGACATTCGAGTTACACCTTGCAATAACTCAGAATGCAGAAAAGATGGCAAAACTAAACTACCGGGATTCCTGCCTGACTGGGAATGGAGTAGTCTTCCAATTTTGAAGCTTGGCATTGGGCCCTATATACTGCACTTCAGCAGTGCTTGAGCCTTCAACCGCTGGACCATATGAGCCTCATATAACATTTGTCTCATTGCCCCACATATGTCCTCAATTTCTTCAGCCGTGAAGGCCTCATCTTCTTTCTCTATGTACCTTAGTTTAACAAAAGTTCTGGCAAGATGTGGGACAGTCTAAGGTTGAACCCACCCATCGTTCTTACGTTCTTTATCCTATTTCACGTCGGCTTCTGTATCTTGGAAACCGACACCAAAGAAGTTCTCACTGTCAGTCAAGGTGATGGGCTCCGTAATGCTTTACAAAGATGCCCCAAGCCCTTTCCCGGGCTTGAGCCATGACTGATCATCTCACTAGCAACCATGATTGATGCGTTGGACAAAAAGGGTTGAGGACACGGGGTTCCTTCCTCACATTGGTCTGCGACCACAATCTCAAAAGCTTGGTAGACTATATGCTCGCTACCTTCTTTATCCTCCAGACATGGGACTGACGGGTCCCTGTAAATTGAGTGCTCATCTTCTCCATGAACCACGATTTCTTGGTCTTCATGCTCAAACTTAACTATATGGTGGAGAGTAGAAGGTACGGCCCCTGCCGCATGGATCCAAGGCCTTCCTTGAAAAATATTGTAGGAATTGTCTATGTCCAAAACCTGAAATGTCACTTCAAAATCCATAGGGCCGATGGTTAGAATAAAATCGATCTCCCCTATTGTGTCTCTCTTGACGCCATCAAAAGCACGTACACAAACATTGTTGGGCCTGATTCTCTTAGTCCTAATTTCCATTCTTTGCAAAGTTGAGAGAGGGCAGATGTCAACCCCAGATCCGCCATCTAACATGACTCTTTTCACGTAGTATCCTTCACACTTAACATCCAAATGAAGAGCTTTGTTGTAGGAAGACCCTTTCGGAGGTAAGTCATTTCGGCTGAATGAGATCCGGTTGACTTTAAAAAATCATTCTGCCATTCCTTCCAATTGTTCAATAGTGGTCTCGACCGGAACATATGCCTCATTAAGGATTTTTATCAGCACTTTCTGATGTTCACTCGAACTTATGAGTAGAGACAAAAGTGAGACCTGGGAAGGAGACTTTTGGAGTTGGTCAATTATATCGTAGTCCGCAGTTTTCATCTTTCGAAAGAATTCCTCTGCCTCTTCGGCACTGACTGGATTATTAAGCGGAAAACGCTTCTGTTTGGCATTGTTCACTTCTTCCAGATCGAGGTACTTCCCAGATGGGTTTGTTTCATTCACTTCCCCTATGATTTCTTTTCTCTTGTACGTCACTACTGCTTTGTTTTAGTTCCAGGGGACGGCAGTGGGATCCTTCATTGGCTTCTATGGTGCGCAACTCATAACTATGGGCTCAGTCAGCCTGGGTGAAATTACCGGCCCCCGTGCCACATAAATCCCCTTTGGTACGTACATCTTTGGTACCGTAAGCGTGACCTTGTTTTTCTCAAACCTTTTGGGGGGACTCAACAAAAACTGTTCTTTCCTAGATGCCCTGGGAACATATAGAATGGCATATTTAGGAGGTACTGCCCCGGTCTTTGTTTCCATAACCTTTTCTACGTTTTGAGGAATGGGATTGTTTTTCTTCTCATCCTTAGCTTGCTTTGCTGCCATTTTGGTCTTCTTTTCAATAGCGGCAATAGTAATGATAGCTTTTAAAGCTGGGTCAAACTCTCTGTCTTCACAGATCATCCCAATAACCGGCCCGTTGTTGTGAGCTGGTAATGGGTTGTTGGTTACAATGGGGACCTCTTCATCCCTTAGAACTACCCATTTTTGTTCTATCAGGTTTTCAACTGTCCTTTTAGGGTCTAACAATCCTCAATGTCGTGCCCTTCTACCCCCGAATGATAAGCACATCAGGTATCGTGTCAGTAGGAGGGCGACTCTGGATTTTGCTTGTTTGGAGGTACGGGCTGCAACAGACCCATTTGGACTAACTTTGGGAAGAGGCTGGAATATGACTCACCAATGGGTGTGAAGTTGTTCTTTCTGGGTGGCTCACGGGCATGGGTGTTATATGGAAAGTTATTTTGTGGAGGACGGGGATTGTATGGAGCTTGGTGAGGAGGGTTATTTCTGGGAGGTGGAGCTCGGTTCTGGTTATACTGTTTTTGTGGCCGAGCGTATGGCTAGGCATTCATCACTGCATGGGGATGAGGAGTCATGGCGTATGCCACATCTTGGTGAGGGTAATAATATTGCGGGGTGTTTGAGGAGGAACCGAAGTAACCTCGGGGTTGACAGGGGTTTCTCAGATCTGAGGCCATCATTTCCACTTCTTCTTTCTTTTTTCGATTTGTCGCGCCCCCTGACCCACTCTGGATTACTTGAGAAGTAGCTCTTATAGCCAACTGGCTCAGGATGCGACCCATTTTCAAACCATTTCTACCATTTCCCCAATCTTTATGGCTTCCGCAAAAGGCTTGTCCATAGCGGACATCATGTTTTGGAAGTAATCATCCTCTTGAGCTTTCAGGAAGACACTGACCATCTCAGTCTCATCCATTGGGGGTTTCACCCTGGCAGCTTGCTCACGCCACTTGACGGCGTACTCTCGGAAGCTCTCTGAAGACTTTTTCTTGAAATTAGACAAAGAGTTTCTATCCGGAGCTATGTCCACGTTGGACTGGAACTGTCTAATAAAGTCTCAGGCTAAGTCATCCCATATGTGCCAGCGGGATATGTCTTGGCCCATATACCATTCGGATGCAATTCCAACTAGACTCTCCCCGAAGTAAGCCATTAGGAGCTCTTATTTTATGCCCGCTCCCCTCAACTGATTGCAATACCTCTTTAGGTGAGCTATGGGGTACCCATGTCTGTCATACTTT